AAGCTATGCTCCTGAGGCTAATCAGCAACCATGTTAAATTTCACCAACTTTTTTTGCATTTCGCTGTTATAAGAGCCAACAAAGGTAAAATTCAAAAGTATGAAGCCTTTCTAACCAAACTGATATGCACTAACTTCTTCATAATTGCATATAATTGCATTTTAATGCAATTTAAAATTCTTTTAATTTTGCTGTTAAACTGTACCCTAGAATTCTGCAACTTTAAATTTAAATAATAAGGATGCCAGCACTGCATTCCTTTTAGCGTTTAGGCTAGTAGGGTATTTTGCCCAGTTTTGCATGTTATTAGTAGGAAATGCCTTTCATATTGAAATCTGGTTTCATGTTTCAAATAAACGAAATTCATCGGCTTGTGTGTTATAATATTTCGGAGAAAAAATGATATGAGAATTGTTTAGCATCAACCTTGCCAATCCAATTAGTGAATGAAAATGATGATTTAAAGTTACCTTTCGTAGCATCACCCCTTGAAAACCTAACCGAGTGATACAGAATGCACTATCTATCACTCTGGCAACTACTTGCTTGAAATTTTGAATATAATCATTAAAGTATCTTCTAATGGCTACCATAATGTGAAGTGTTAAGGTGTCTGTAAAAGATGGGGAATACAGTTAGTGCAACGATAGCCGCAAGTGATCAGGATTGACAGCTTCCACCTCTTCGCTGCCGAATTTTGACAGTTGCATTCGAAGCCTGCCTACAAAGATATATTTTTTGCTTTGGCAACGCAATACATTTGCATTCAGCTTTGCGTAACAGCTTCCATTTACACGATAGTCTAAAATCTGGCATATTGTAAATGCTGAGCATGTCATAAGAAATAAAAGAAGTTTATTGAATTTTTCATTATTAATTAAGTTGACTATGCTGACTTTCGTGGCCCATGTGCTAATAACCAAATTTGGGAACGGTGAAAATTTAGTAACTATTACGTGATTCATCAACATCCTCGCAACTAGCCATTTTTGGACCTCTTAGTGGTACACATTATAACCATGAATAACTAGTAGCCAAATTTAAATTAATGAGCTCCCCCTTAACTGGCTTTTATTTGACTTGACAAAAATTATTGTCAACATAGTGGAAAATCTGCAATCGAAGCGCAGTCAATTTACATTGCAAACTGAATTAAAGTACTGTTTAGTGCAATATCACCGCTACCGTTAATATGCTTCCACTTAAATCAACCAATTATGTTGTTGAGTTTTCAGGGAATAGTACGCCATTCCTATTCTTAATTATGCATTTAAATACGTAAGCTGATGCATATTTAAACGATATATTTGTTAGCGGTTGGTGTTGTAGGTTTCGTTAGTGAATAATTTAAATGTTTATGTGCTACTTATGTAGTAGTTCACCAATGGGCGCATAATTAAGGTGTCTTAATATGAAGCGGGAACAAAGTTCTATGCCTCAATAGCGGCAAGGGGTTGAAGTGAGCCGCCTTCTGTTATGCTGCAGAAATTCTAATTCTTTTTCAGTCCCCAATGCTTGTATTCATTCTTACACATCTTTGCTTACTATCTTTGCTTAAGATTGTTTCGGCTTCACGCAGCAAGTAGCCACATTGCGCATTTTGAGGAATGCAAACAAAGCACAATCAGTAACGGTAGTATTACACTACGCACTCATTTAATCTAGTCTTAGAATGTCAACAGTTTGTGACGAATAAATTTTAGCGAAATACGTGAATATACCATTCTGGAAAGGTAATTTTACACGCCAAAATACTCTTCACAACTCGATGTGCCTGTCGAGGGGTGGGGTCGGATCCATCGCTAATACGTAGTGCATTTGTTTAAACAAAATTTGGAAAATAAGAAAACTCAAGTAGATATGACCACTAAGGCAAAGCAAAATTATGCGGACAGTGTCATCATTCCAAACGCAATTCATTTCAATGCAACACGCCCCTGTTATCATATCTTGCCAGTTACACATACTCATCGTTTTACGTGAGGAATTTGACAGACTAGTGCATCGTCCCAGTCAAGCAACACGTCCACAATTCTTTTTCTTTGGCTGACCGAATTAGTCATCTTGATTTGATCACTTTATTAAACTCACCGAATCTTGGCCATTCCTAGTCAGCTTCACTAAGGCGAGAAGGCTAGGAATTGATCAAGTTCGTAAGCAGTGTGCACTTCACCATTCCACTGTTCAAGAGGATACATTTGACATTCTGTCCGATCATTGAAAGTTAGTCTTTGCAGCAACTGCAAACTGAAGAACAAGAAATGAGAAGATGACGTTTCAATGAACAAGCAATGCATTGGCCCTTACTTGTGTACATTTGATGAGGAGGTGAATTTAGAGTGGTAATGTTGTGTAGTGAGATGCAAACCTCTGAATGTCGTCCACTGAAAGGTGCGCAATTTTGACTCTCTTGCATCTAATATTTCTTGCAGAACTCGATTATCATGTTGAAAGGTAATGTGGTTGGTGTCGCTTTCATTGTTCTGCATCGTAAAAACTCCTTTATAGCAATAGAGATTTTGATGTAACGAACACTCAGAAATGTGTGCAGCTGCCCACACACGGATGATGTTGCAGGAGAGATTGGTCGGCTTTTCGTCGCTTACAATGCTAAAGTGCATGCAGATAGTAGGTAATCTGCGGTCGACCCATTGCAGACGGAGACCAGACTAAATCAATCCAATTTGCATGGCTACTTCCAGTCACACTACTTAATGTTTAAAATCAAATTAGGAATGTGCTCAGTAAATGGTGACCTTAGTTAGGTTAACGTGGTTTATCTCACAGCGACAAAGGAAGCGAAAACCCAGTCCAATTTGTCACGTCTAAATTGCCAAGGTGTGAGCTTAGAAGGAAAGCATATCAGTACAAGTCCGCAAATATCCTACAACTGTGGTTGCATTTTCTGAAGAAAAGGGCAGAATACTGCCTTTTGCAATGGAAATATCGTGCTCTGGTAACTACCGTCGGCAAACAACGATTCGTTAGGATGCGCCAAGACCAGCTAAAATTCTGTGTTTTCTCCTTCTGGCAAAGCGCTAGTGCGTTGTTTCATTTTTGCGTTTTGAGCATCGCATCAACGACCGTAATCTAAATGAACTCAAGCAGGTGTTGGCACACCAACAAACAGTAGACTTAAATGCGGATGCTGTGAATACCTTAAACCCCTTTATCTTTACCAACAATGTGTGGTAAACTTGTTTGCAACGCTCCACTATCCCAACATTTTCAAATCTTCCAGTTAAACACTGCACAATTTAAACACATTTCTGGCTTCATGCCGGTCTGCCTCTCTGTCATAACCCATATCAGACAACACAAAGTAGTAGTGGGTAGTGACAACGCCGTCACAACTTATGCACTGCTATGCCGAAAGTGGAATGTGTTCAGCTAGACATCCTTTCCAGCATGCAAGCGCATTCTCGCACAAAATGGACTTGCTGCTAATGAGAATGGTCCTACAGTTTTACCCTCTAGTAAATGCAGTGGTAAATATGGGGTCCGTTTCCCAACAAAAGACCTCGAATTTTCTCCTCCATTTGGCAAATTACACCATGGGTCCTGGATTTGTAACAAGCCATGTCACCCCTGTTTTGTGAGCTTTAAGCCTCTCAGCCTCTAGCTGGACACCTTCAGGTAGTTGGAATGCTACCCAGCATGAAATTAGTAGTTTCAACGAAATGGCAATCTCTCTATAGTGATTGTAAAATTAGTTGTTGTGTCATTTTAGCTATCTTAGATGTCATAAGTACGACCAGACGACAAGGTTATAAGACTTACTAATCTGGTGATAGGGAGTGCACTGCTTAAGTTATTGAGCTCTATGAGCACACAATTATCCTCTAAATGTAAAATTAAGCGCGATTTCAACTCATTGCCAGGTGTTGGTATTTTGTCTTATTTTTAGCTCGTAAGCCTGATGAGAGACCATTCAGTAAGTATTGTGTTTTTCAGGTGCTGCTACTGTTGATGCAGTAAAATAGCCATCTTCTTTAACGTTAAGTAGTCCACTTACCGCAATGCTTTGATCAGCTCAATTGAGCGATTCGACTCTATTCTCAAGGACAGTTAAGTGTTACGCGGAAGCGCAGCAACAAATTAGTGAACGAATAGCGTTTGCGTCAAGCTGGTGGGCTTAAGCAAGGATAGTTGTTGGTTGTAAAAAAGCCCTATTCTCATTCGTAGGTGATAAGGCAATATATTATCACCTCATACCGTAGATAGAATTACTGGCCCAAGGGGAATATGTGCATTGTAGAAGTTAGGCAAATGTGGGCACTGCTTAGGCTACATTGCTTCTCCGTCTATTTCTTTAATGGTATTTCTTTAATTGGTGAGTTTCGTTATTACTGGAATCTGCCTTGGACAACTACATGAACGTACATAAGGAACACCAGAAAACGTGATGGCTTGGCTAACGCCTTAAATCGGACGAAAGACGCAATGATTCAGAGCGTCGTTGGGAAAGCATTACCCATGGGGATGTCAACAACTCCAGAAAAGTTCATTTTTCAAGTATTTTGAGGCAATCCCTTTTTCGCACCTAATATCTTGTCGTTGATGGGTAGAGAAACTGCACTATATTTCCACCACTATTAGGCCAAGGCCAATTTTATATACGACGAAGTCACCTAGTGGGTACACTCTCACGCTTTTGCCAGAGTTGCACAAAATCCTCGTCATTAACGCCACACAAGTCTGGGATTAATGGCAAATAAAAGTTGGTGGCATTCCCTGCAAAATAAATGGAAGAAGTGATGTGCTATCACCAGGAGTCATTCCAGATGGCAGTAATCAAAAGCCTGACTGAGAGAGTCAGGTGTCACATAGCATCCCATAAAGTACTTATCTTCTCGTACCTAATTTCCTGCAGTACTGCAAGGTACCCAGTCAACTTTGGGTGCTGTGGAATATGAGAGGCCAATTTTTTAATGTAGGTTCTAACTTACCTGAACAGACAGAATAATATTTGACGTACCACATTATATTAAAATGCGTCTTCCGAGGGTACAGTATCACAGTACTATATTGGTACGTGCAGCTATTAAGTGCATAGTTACTTGAGATTGCTTCCACTGCAGTGGTGCGTGATATTACTGATTGCACAAACGGTATCAGCGTTAGGGACCTTCAATGCATGCTTGAAAAGATTAGCAATTTCGGAAGTGTCGTATAAAGCGCAACACCTTTATGCTCATCACGATGAATGTGGCACTACTGACTCGCAACTATGGTAGCTGAAAAGGCAGTGGAGTTCTCTACCTATGAATGAGGAGACGGTGCACGTCTGTTATTACGAGCAGAAGAATGAACTACTGCAGAGAGATCTGAGAAAACAAGCAGCTACATATTGGTATCTATCAGTATCATTACTTAAATAAAGAGAAGAGACCTAGCAGAGCAAAATTTAACCTAGAGAGAATAATGTTGTCTGCAGTTAGCGATACAAAATCTCGTTGTATTTTATTAAAAGTAGTGCTAGTGAGAAATAGGTGGGATGCATTTAAGTAGCATAAAAAATTTCTGCCTAAGTATAAAATTCGTGCAATTCAAGGAAAGTTAAAAATGAAGAACTTTACTTACTTTTGCATGAACGTCTTGTATCGGTTATCTCAGATTCCCTTATTGTTTTCTCTTCTTTTAAAAACAATTAGTCGGAACCTCTTTAGAGCACCTATTTTGACAATCTAAATGTTATTAAATTTTAAAATGCTGTCCATGAATAAATAATGGTATCATACCACTAGTGCAAGAGAGGAAACCTGTAGAGCGTCTACACGAAAGTATTGCTAGGATGACTAGCAGGGAC